GCTGTCTCCAATGATTTCGATCAATGGTCATCCCACCTGTATGATGCGTGAACCTCCAAAGGCTGACTTGTCGTATGGAGTTTGGGAAGTGGAGAATTCCATGGTCTTGTCATGGTTAATCAACTCCATGGAGACTTCAATTGGTCGATCATATATGTTCCTTCCACTAGTGCCCTCTAAACGACAATTTGTGATGTCTACTCAGATGTATGGAATTGCAGTCAACTCTATGAGGTGTCTAAGAAAATCCGTGAAGCAAAACAAGGATCCAGGATCCTGACCCAATACTACAATGATTTAGTTGTGTTATAAATGGAATGTGACCTATATTATGACTACACTTGGGAATCTCTAACCAACCAATCTCTCTTCCAGAAAATTGTAGAAAATGATCGTTTGTTCAAATTTTTGGCAGGTCTCAATAAAGATTTTGACGAAGTCTGGGGACGTATCCTTTATTGGGATCCTCCTCTTTCGACTCGTGTTGCTTTCACTAAGATTCATCTCGAATAAAGCTGGAGTATTGTCATGTTTGGTGCTTCTACTGCGTCGACCGAAGCATCTACCTTGGTATCTAATAGTTCTCAACCTCGGACTGGTCATCCCACATGTGATTATTGCCACAAGCAAAACCACACTTGTGAGAAGTGTTGGAAGCTCCACTAAACCTACATCCAAACCTTCAACAAAATATTTCGCTGTCAAGGATCTCACCACGACATCAGAATCCAACACGGTACAACTGATCTATACCCAAAATAATTCAGAATTCTCAATTCCCTTAGGAGTCAAATGGAGCAACCAAACAAGAGGCTTGGATCTAACCTGCTCTCTTCTAGTCTATCAACCTCCCACGTTCTTCAAGATATTAATCATATGGTACTCGCTTATTTTGCCCCTTCTAGTATATAGATCATTGATTCAAGTTCCATAGATCACATGACTAGAAGCTTTCAAACCTTCTCGACATATTATCCTTGTTCGGGGAAAGATACTGTTAAAATTACTGACTGGTCTCAAAGTTTTATTGTTGGTAAAGGGTCTGTTGTTTTAACAACAGTCTAACTCTGGAATTTGTATTACATGTACTTCTGTTGAAATATGATATTTTATTTGTCAGTAAACTAACATATGATGTTGTTAGCGTTGCTCATTTCTACTTTGATGTTTGTGTCTTTTAGGATTGTTGTTTGGGGAGTATGATTGGAACTGCTAAGCAAGTTGGCGGGCTACTTCTTTCAAGCTACTTCTTTCAAGAGAAAAGCATGAAGAATCAAGATACTCCCCCCTTGGAGTTGCAGTTTATCTCAGTCCACTGATTTTCTTATTATGTTGTTACATTGTCGTTTGGGTCTTCCTAATTTCCAGTTTCTAAAGCAATTTTATCCATTGATGCTTATTAACAAAAATATTTCTAATTTAAATGTGAAACTTGTTAGTTAGCTAAACACCACCATGTCCCTTATCCACTCCACAATTACACCCCTTTTGCTCCTTTTTCTCTTATTTGCTGTGACTTATGAGGACCCTCCTGCTCCCCTAGCTACACCAATAAACGGTGATTTCTTACTTTAATTGATAACAACATTCGGATGATATGGGTCTATATTTTAAAAGATAAATCTGAAGTTGTTGTCACCTTCAAAAACTTCCACACCTTCATTCTGACCCAATGCAAAACTTCTATTTAAGTCCTTCGAACAAACAGTGGTCGTGAATTTTTTAACTCTATATTAGAAGACTTCTTGGTAAGTAAAACATCCTCCATCATAGCTCTTGTTCCGACACTCCTCAACAAAATGAGATAGCCAAAAGAAAAAACTCACATCTCTTCGACGTCACTTGCTCCATTATTTTTTACTCTAATGTCCCAAAACGTTTTTGGAATGATGTCATTCGTACCACCACTTGTCTCATAAATAAAGTTACCTAAAAAATTCACAACTTTCGTACCCCTTTATCAGTCTTGAGATTATTCTTTCCTAATAATCTGATCTTCTACATTTTAGACTCCAAAATTTTTGGGTGTACAACCTTTTTTCGGAATATTGCCCCAACTCAGATTAAATTTGATCCCAGTTCCATAAGATGTGTTTTTGTAAGATACTTTGCCACTCAAAAGGGGTATCGAAAATAAGATCTATGCGAGTGTTGATGTCTCTTTTTTTTTAAAGAGACCCCTACTTTCCTAACTGGCCTCAAGTGAGGAGGAGTTAGAGTTATTGGACATCGTTCCTTACCCTACTCCTGTGGATGTTCGTCCCGTGTCACCTACCATCGAGGAACCTTTGGTTCCTTTTGTTCCAATCATCTCTTCTACCACCAAGGAGCCTCTGTCCCTCTGATTCCACCTGCACACCCTCCCACTCTTCTGGTCTAGACTCAACCCACTCATTTTGATACACCTACTCAGGAGCTCGCTAACCCCTTGCTAGACTCTTAATCTCCTTTTGATGACATCCCCAACACTGCTCCAATTAAAAATGGAAGTCAGTTCCTCTAGCAAGGTATGCAATCTGACATGCTCTCTCTATCTTGTGACAAACTGTCTCCTTTTGCATATTATCCCCAAACTACAGAGCATTTGATACTGCCCTGACGAATCATCAACTTCCATCTACTATTGAGATTGCTTTAGCAGAACCAATCTGGAAAGTTGTTGTCATGGAGAAAATGAATACCCTTAGGCTAAACCATACCTGGGACATTGTTGATCTTCCTCGAGACAAAAAAACAGTGGAATGTTAGTGGATTTTTAGCATCAAGTTTAAATCTGATTGATTCTTTGAACCCAACAAGGCACAGTTGATCGTTAAAGGGTACTCACAGTCCTACAAATTTGACTACGAGATTTGTTTCAGTGGCTAAAAATAGGCACCATTCGGGTTCTCTTCTCCCTGACACTGAATCCAGATTGGCCCTTATACCAACTTAATGTCAAAAATGTATTCTTGAGCAATGTTTTTACATAAGAGGTTTACATGGCCCTTTCTCCAAGCTTTAACTACACTGCTTCCCAGGGGCAAACATGCAGACTGTGAAAGTCCCTCTATGGACTGAAGCAATCACGACAAGCTTGGTTCGGGAAGTTCACAAAGGTGGTGGTAGGTCATGGATTCACTCATGCTTAATCAAATCACACACACTCTTTTTCTTGCATTCCTCCAACAACAAGGTAGCTACCCTTATCATTTATGTTGATTATATTATTCTCACAAGGACTGATCTACTAGTATTAGAATTTCTAAAAGACATTCTTGCTGCCTCCTTTGAGATGAAAGACTTGGGAGCTCTCTGGTACTTCTCAGGCGTGGAAGTTGCCAGGTCATCCCAGGGCATTTGCCTGTCTCAGCTGAAATATGTCTTTGGCTTTTTGAGAGAGTGCAATCTTCTTTTGTGAAAACCAATAACTTTCTCGATGGATTCAAATGAAAAGCTTCTTGTTGTTCCCAACGCAATTCCTGTAAACAAGACTCAATATCAGTGTCTTGTTGGGAAACTCATATACCTTGCCCATACACGCCCTGACATATGTCACGCAATTGGGATAATAAGTCAATTCATGCATGACCCCTATGAGCACCTTGTCCAAGTTGTCCATCGGTTTCTCCACTATTTAAAAGGTACATCGGGCTCAGGTTTATATTTTTCCCGTACACCTCTCTCAATATTGTGCTTTTCACATATGCTGGTTGGGTCAAATCCGTCCATGATCGGTGATCTACCTTGAGGTATTGTTCATTTATGAGGGGAAACCTGGTCACGTGGAAAAGTAAAAAGCAGTTCATTGTTGCTCAGAGCAGTGCTGAAGTAGAATTTCAGCCAATGTTCCCAGGAATTTGTGAGGCTCTCTGGTTACGTTTCATGCTCCGAGAATTACGTATGCCAGTCTCCGTTCCCCTACAGTTGTTTTGTGATAACAAGACAATCGTTAGCATGGCTGACAATCCTTGGCCTCTATTTGATGATTTCAAGTTAAAGTTGATCATGGATGGCATATATGCTTCAACTTGAAGAGGAAGAGTATTAGAATATTTTAATGGCTAGTAATAGTCATCATTTAATTCTGATTTTTCTGTGTTATTTTCTTCCTTTTTCTATTATATTTAGTTTTATTTCTTTCCCCTTTTATTATAACATCAGCTTATTATTTTTTCTTTCTAGTTAATCCAGAAATGGGTATATATACCCTTTATATCAATAAGAACTATCCTACATTATCAATCTCTCAATCTCGTGCTGTATTTTTGTTTTTTGTAGTTCATAGAAAGTTCACATTGTTGGTGCTTTGCTCCTATCAGATGCAACTAGAAGACTATTCTCTTTTCTAAGTTTGATGCTTGGCTTCCCATATATTAGAATGTCTTTTAAAGAACCCATACTATTTTTATTTTTGTTTCAGATGCTCGTGATTTTAACAGTCATGCCTCGTTTTGTTTCGTGTTTTGTTGTTTGAATATTTGTTATGTTGCATGTCCATGTCATAACATACATACATATGGATCTGTATCCATGACTTTTAGTTGCTTCATAGTGTTGGTTCTTTATAATAATATAGTTGATACAAATCAACATTGAATCTGTTTTGAAACCCATTATTATAGTTTGGCACGTTAGTTTGTCTTTTAAAGACCCTTGTTCTGATGTTGTAAGACGTGCTTTTGAAATCTGGTGCATGTTAAAGTGATCATCTTTGATTTGCATTCGCTCTGTTATTCAGTTAGAAAATCTACATTTTTCTGAACTTTTCTTCAATTGTCATTTGAATTGTGGCATCTTATTTTTAATTCCACATTGCATAATTACATAACATATTTGGTTACTTTTTAAATATATAATGTGTAATTGAAGTTTTTTAGATCATTTTTTTCATATTTATTTGTCTTCTAGGCATATTTTTTTTTCATAATGGTTTATGCATTAATGAATGCGTGTTTAGTATTCTTAACAATTACAGTCAAAGATACAGACATTAATGGTTTAAAACCATCTTAATTCAGGGGCTTCTCTTCTTCAACTGGAAAATGGAATCAGCATACAAAGAGAAAGCATTGTTCCTCTGGCCAGAGGTTGATTGGCCATCGAATGGATGGGTGGGTTCAGAATCTAAACCACCTGTGTCTCCAGAAATTGGACTTGGAAGCAATAGTGGCACACACCTTTGGTTGGGTGGAGGAACAATAGGCTTCGGTTCAATGGCTAGACCAGTAAGAAACTTTACTGGTGGTGCGGCTTTTGGTATTCGAGGCTATGCTGGCCTAGGAGCTTCCGGTCTGAGCTGGGGTGAACAGATAGAACTTAAGTATTTCGTTCCTCCTGCAACAGTTGAAGATGCGAGCTCACGAACTTTATCAAGCCATCCTTCAAGGCCATTCTTTTTGGTTGGATCTATCAACACACTTATTTACTTGTGGGAGGTATCTACGCTATTATACAATTTATTCTCACTATTTATTTTATTGTCATGTGATGGATGCATCTATGTGCTTCATTTCTATCTTGCTGAAAAACTGAGCTTTTAGTTTTTGTATGAATGCAGCTTCTTATGCTTTTTCTACTTTGGTTTTAATTTGTTTTACATGACATGCCTTTTATCTCTTTTGTTTGACATTAGCAGTTTTTCATTTGGCATAAGAACGTGTCCATAATGTCAGCATGTGCTTTAGAGATATTAGTATTGTTCATTTGCAGACATATGGAGTTGGATATAGTTTTCTGTTTTAGGTATTTAAAATGTGACATGGGATTGAGGAGAATGAGTGTGAAAACAGTCTCCTATTATCTGTGCGGAAGGAATGTGCTATGTCCACAGATCAACGCTATGGTTGGCTTTGGTTCTTAAAAATCAAAGATTTACCATTTCTGTAAGGGTTATCATGGTTTATTACATTAGTACAGGGACCCAGGACCCTTGGTCTTGCTTCAACTCCCCTTCTTGGCGTTGCTTGTTCCCTTGCTTTTAACTCTTCTTCTTTACCTTGATTACCTCCTTGATGCATGGTGCTTACTCTCTTCGTTATTGAATCACATCCAAAACGAGTATGCTCGAGTAGGATTGGTTTAAAAACAGAGAAAAACGGTGTTTCTTGTGAGAGAAATGTAGTGGACTTTGGACTCTGGATAGGGAGGCTGTCGGCACTATTTTTGGTGTGGAGTTTGTCCGTAAGAAGCTGTCGGTCATCGGAATTGAAATCCCGTTGCCCGCTTCGGATGGACGTTAAAAAAATTTAGTTTTGAAAAAGATGAAGTCAAACTGACCCCATAATTTTCATAGTTTAAATGGAAGAGCACTTTACCTCAAATTCTGTATCTATCCCAATGGATGAATACAAGAATTGAGGGTGAGGCTCGATCAAATAAACTAGAGAAAGTCATGACATCCGTTTGGTCTGCGAAACCAATATATTGGCCGACAAATTCCCCTATTTAATATAAGGAATTAAATAGGGTTTATATTATGCTGGGTTCGGAAAAAGCTTCCTATA